CACACAAGTGTTCTCACCACACACCATCACACACAAAACAATAATGTCCTTGGATCCAAACATCATCCAAGGACAATGAATGTGCGGTGTGTCTCTGTGTGTGTGTGTGTGGTGTTTATTAAGATGATAAAATTCTACAAGTATAAACATAAACAACAAACACAGGAATCAACAAAAACAGGTAATAATTCAAAGAAAAAAAAAGTGAGAATACAAACACATCCAATTGATGACAACTAATTTTTGCATGGAAATTTTTATTTGAGAAAAATGACAGCAGCAAACTACCTTGATTGTTTTTTGTTTTTGTTTTTGTTTTTTGTTTGTTTGTTTAATCACTGTGTTTGGATTAATTTATTTCAATCAACAACAAAAATCAAAAATCAAAAATCAATTAGAAATTATGGCAAAAAACAAACCGATTTTTGATTGGCCGATTATGAAGTGATGATAATATATATTCAACTAACAGCAAAAAAAGACAAAAATTTTCTTGTGTTTCTGTGCTAATCAGGTAAATTATGAAGTGCTGGTTTATTTAAATGGAAAAAATAACATTTTAGCTACATTGAAATTTTTTCCTACTCCAACACCACCATTACTTGTTAAAAAATATTTTTATGTAAAGAGGGTATCACATACTGATGATGTTACCATGTTTGTTTCGCCAATGTGTACGGAAACGTAAATGCTAAATGTAGCTAGTTTCTTGTGGCAGAGAGTTTTAGTAAAGATTTTTCTTTACATTTTTGTTGTTTCAAATGCTAAATATTCAAATATGTGTACAATGTGTTTGTGTGTGGTTTTAATCTAAATTTATTATCATGATAATGATTTTCAACAAGCAAAAAATTTCTCATGTAATTTTGTTGTTATGGTTCATTTCAATGATAATCCTTCCAGGATTGTTAAATTAAATGTAATGTTTGTAAATGACTTTGTGCAATGGAATTAACTGGAAAATATTTTTTCTGTTTCAGTTTTTTCTAAATGGTCAAAAAAAAAAGATTAAAATTCTCCAGTAATGACATCGACTTGAGGAAAAAAGAAAAATCTAATGCAAAAAATGCATAGGAATATTGCAAATTGCAAACATTTTTGTATATTTTGATTGATCATTTCCAAAAAAAAAACGATAAACAAAAACATATTTATTATTTGCAAGCCAAAAACAACGGGAAAAATGAAAAACGAAGAAAAAAAATTAATCCAGTAAAAAAACTAATCAAAAGCTAGTCACAAAAAAAAAATCAACAACGATAATTTATTTCATTTCAGTTGATTATGATCTCAAATCAAATCAGAGATGAAAAATTTGTTTGTTGTGTGTGTGTTGACGATATGACATTCATATTTTCATAATTTTCTGGTTTTCTAATATTTTTCTTATCTGATCTAGGTTATCATTCGTTAAAGATTTTTTTTTCATTTTTGGAACTATACATCTTAATCATCATAAGGTGGATATAGACAAAAAAAAACAGTGTAGCAGATCAAGCTGTCTGTCATCATCATCATCATCATAATCATAATCATCATCAGGTGATGATGCCAAATGTAACTCTAAGTGTGCGCAAAACATTTGGAAAAAAAAAGATTATCTCTCTCTATCTATCTGTCTCTCTATCTCTATCTCTATCTACCTGAAATGAAATCATTAATCAAACATTCGAATATGAATTCATAATTCATAAATGATTATTACATAATCATCATCATCATGAATTAGATGGGAGAAACGATTTTCTTCTTCAGGTAAAAACATCATATTCATGTCGTGGTTACGAAGAAGAAGAAGAAGAACCATTCACCACCACCATTATAGACATTTGCATTGATATAATCATCATCATCATCGTAATAATCAAAACACCAAAAACAGCTAATTTAAGAAATTGTTTATTATTATTGATGATGATGATGATGGAAATGTCTTCAGGATCGTGATCGCGCATCTTCATCATCATCAAGATCATAAAGATGTGCACCCAAGTCTAATATGAAAAATAGAGGTAGATAAAAAAATCGGCCAACCAAAGATGATGATGAAGACCAGAAGCTAATCATCAATTCTAATTTCGGCACATTTTCGGTGGTTGCTGATTGTTGGTTGATGTTTTACATAATTCAATTGACAGGTTTTCTCTGTGACTCGACTCTGAACTGAACTGAAATCCGGTAAAAGATGCCAATAATTTTTTCTGGTTATGGAGTGAATGAAAAAGTATTTCGTTCAAAAAATTTTAAAATTTTGAAAAAAAAAATTCAAAATTTATTGAATAACGAAGGATTAATCTAAAAATTTATTGAATTTCAACAACAAATATCTTCTTTTTTTTCGTGTACAGTGATCTACTGATTAACTGCTGAACTGAAATGCTTCAGGAAAAAATGGCTTTTATGGTTTTTTATTAGTTGTGGTAAGTAATCAGTTGATTGATGGTCATCCGAAATCATCACTGATATTATTATTATTATTATTATTAAGGGTCCTTTGACCTTTTCCAAAAACAAATTTTTTTCAGAAAAAAAAATTGATGTTGTGACAGTTGAAAAAAAATGTTCAAAGAAAAAAAAATGGATTGAAAAAATTCTTTTCAAAAAAAAATTCAATTTCTTGTCATCGCATCATCATCATCATCATTTTATTTTTTTCGCTGATTATGTTGCCTAAACTTGAAAAATTCGTGAAATAAATTTTTTGCTGTTTTTTTTACCTGCCTGATTGGCACACACACAGCAGTTGGCCATCGATGTTAAGCTTTCGATCGAGCTACAAAACGAACGAAAAAAACAATTATGATTATGGATCAAAAAACCAGCCTGAAAACACTGAAGCCATTTATGGCTATTCAATATTACGAAACACCATATGAGTTGTTTTTTTTTGGAGTTTTTCTCTATGGTTTGTTGGATGCATCATCGTTTTTATTAATTACATTAATGGGTATCCCCAATTGGAAAAAAAGATGTGATCACGCATCAACAACAACATCGATAATAATGATCGATTCTGAATGGAAAAAACAAAGTCAATGAGTCAACGGACAGGCCATTTGGTTTTCAGTTAACTATCCACGTGCCACTTTTTTTTATTCAGATGCTATTTTTTCAGTTATAAACAGACATACATCACACACACAGGTAAACAACCAGCCAGCCAGGTAGTCAGGCTTTTAGTTCATCCAGAAAAAAAAACATCAGGCAATAAAATAAAGCAGATGCTCAACAACAAATATATCAAACTAACGTTGTTTTACCAAGATTCTTCTTAATAAATAAACATTCACCGCAGGCCAATTCGGAATTTGTTTTTTTCAATGTTTTTAACCACACGAAACATAAAAAAGGCGGCAAAAATCACGAATTAAATCAAACAAATCATTACAGACCTTACATCACATCAGTTCGTAGTTTACCTTACTAACGATAATTCGATGACAAATAATCGATTTTTCTAGGCTATAGTGATGATTGGTCGATGATTAAAAGAAAAAAACAATAAATCTTAAACAGAAAAAGATCAATTGATTTTTGATTTGTTTGTTTGCTGTTTGCTTGTTTCCAATTTGCCCCGAAAAAAAAAACATAAACATAGCATAAATCCTAATGAATAAATCAGAATTATTTGTAAACTTGTTGTTTTGGTCATGATTTCGATTTACAATTTAAAGGTGATGATCATCATCATCAAGGTGATTATTATGAATGGTCATCATCATAATCATCATTATTAAATCACCCGAAGAAATTTTTTCTCACCAAAATTAATTGATCAAATTGAATCACGAAATCATGGTTCATTTTTTGTTTGTTGTAAAAGTTGTTGTTGATTATATTTAGACCGGATACAAATGATTTTATTATATAGACATCATTTCATTGAATTTTTTTTCAGAAAAATTCCTTTGAAATCCATTCAAAATTCCACTAATTAAATTTAAATTTTTTTTCAATCAAACTAAAAGTGTATCGCACACTAAAAAGCCATTTTTTTTGTGATAAAAAACATCAGCCATATGGCTACCTGCCTAATTATCATTACATTGAATCAATCTTTGGGCCATTCATTCATACATATTTTGTCTGAAGAATATTTTTATGTAATGAGAGTTTATCCATTACATAAATATAATCAAGGATAATGTCTATTTGTACTGTAACCCCCTTTCGCCCCTCCCACCCGAAAATCTACCATATATTTCGCTTTGTTTTCATTTTTTCTGTTTGATAATAATAATCATCATTATCGTCTGATGATGATGATGATCATTAGAATGGAAGAAAGAATGGAAGTTTTTTCATATTTTTGAATCTAGTCAGACAACAAAAAAACAAAATCGGTTATTCCACTCTCCTTCTCTCTCTTGTTGTTGTTGTTTTTTTTCGAAAAAAAAGATTATCCTTTTTGCATAATAAAAAATGAATGAATGAATTTTTTTTTACAACCAAAAATTCGATGATCATAGATGCATGACACATAAATAAATAAGAAATAAAACACACACAGGACAGGTATGTTATTAACACACAGGACAGGTATGTTATTAACACACAGGACAGGTATGTATTATCTTTTTTATCATCCAAAAATCAAAGAGAGAATACACCGTACATAAAATAACCAAAAAAAAAAAAAAAAAAAAAATTATACACCCCCCCCCCTACAATGATTATCTCTTTTGAACAACAGAGAGATAAGAACCGCCTTTGGCCACACCTTTTCGAACATTTTTTTTTGCGAATGAAAAAAAAACTTGTATAGTGAGTATGCGTATGAGTGTATAGTGTTGTTGTTGTTTTAGAGCTGTATAGAGATAATCAGATTTTGTTTTAGCTTAGTTTTTCATCTTTGAAAATATGCTAAAAGTTTTTTTTTGTGTTTTGTTTTCGGTTTATTGTTCAGTTTTAGTTTGGTTTGTTTAGATGTTTTGATGTCGGCATCAAATAAAGATCATCCATCCATTCAAAGATTCGTGTGTTTTAAAAAAATTCTAATCTAAAATTATGATGATGATGAACATTGTTTCTGCAAAACAGCAAAGATAAGTGTTTTTTCATAAAAGTGTTTTTTTTCATAATTGGAACAAATGATTTCGATATTATCACATCACCAATTGCATCATCATCATCATCAAACAATTAATTCAACAAAATCATCATCATCGATTTTCATAAATAACAAATCGATTCACACCGACAATATTTCCAATGTAAGTTTTCATTTTATATTTTTGAATAACTTTATGTGTTTGAAAACAAAAATGAAATTCTGAATTCATTTTGATCATTTCATATAGATGTGGCAAGATATTGAAAGCGTCATTTTACCACCAATATCGCAACAAACATCATTGTCATCCACTGATAATGGACAATTTTCGTTTACCTTGATGAACAACAATAACAACAGTAATCATCATTCACCATTATCAAACAAAGTCATCGATAATACCACCGTTGCATCAAACAACAATACAACTACAAACGATAATGAACAACAACAACAAGTGATGTATAATAATCAACAAACAACCAACAATAGTCCACCATCATCATCGACAATCGATACAATCGATATGTATCATAATCATCATCATCAACATCATAATCATGATTCAATGCTTGTTTATGATAATTACAATCATCATCACCATGATCAATATCATCAATCAATGAATTCAGATTATTATAATCATCATCAATCAGGTGGTGGTTACGGTAGTCATCCTGTAAATGCTGATGCAAATGATTATTTTCAATTAGTACCACAACAAACAGCATCAACAACAACAAGATCATCACAAAAATCATCATCATTATCACCGGCAACAACAACAACAACAAATTCGGCACCAACAACACCACCAATGGAACAACAACATTGTGAATATTCATCATCATCATTATATAATCATCAAGGATCATATTCATTAAAATCATCCATTTCACCATCATTATCGATAACAACGACGCAGAAGCAATTTTCACCACCACCACCACCATCATTGAATGGTGAAAATTATTTTGGATCAAATAATTTAGATCATCATTGTTCATTTGGTTTATGGTCAGTTAACAACAACAGCAACAATAATGATAATGGTGTTGGTGATGGTAAGATTGATGTTGATGCCCACCTTAATCATCAACAGCAAACGGATAAAAATAGCGATCTAAATAATAATGAAGGTATATCGTTGGATAGCGTTTATTTTAATCATAATCATCCACATCATCAACAACAACAATCATATGTACCATCATCAGCAGCATCATATTGGATTAATAATGAACCGAATTCGGCATTTAATATGGCGGTTAATGGATCGACAAATCATCATCATCATCAACATCAACAAATATCACCGCCATCATCACCACCGAATAATAATAATAATGTTTTACAGCAACAACAACAATCATCATATTTAAATGCTCATCATCATCCTCATCCACAAAATGATTCATATTATATAAATGATCATCAATTTGGTACAGGTAGTGATGAAATGATTACTAATTCGGGTATTCATCTTTCTCATCATCATGACCATCATCAACAATCAAATGTTTCACCAGCAGTGATAACAAATACAAATTCTCCAACAGTATCATCAACAACAACAATTGATGAATATAACAATAACAACATTGCATCTGGTTATAATCATCATTATCCAGTAGTAGATATTCATCAGGTGAATAATACACAAATTTTACAAAATAGTCCAAAATCATTATCATCATCATCGTTAATTGTTGGCCAAGAAAATCATCATTCACATTCACAATCGATTATCCATCGTGAAGATCAAAGTCAGCAGCATCAACAACAGCAACATTTTTATCCACAACATGCTCATCATCAACATCATCAATTGAATGGTTATTATAATGATAATAATCATCATCAAGGACATCACCATCATCATAATCATAATTGTAATAATACGATCAATTATCAAACAATTAGTTCATCATTAGTAACACCACCAACATCACCACCACAATTATTAAATCAATCAAAATTATTAATGCAATCATCAAATACACAATTATTAATGCAAATTGGTATTAATACTATTTATACGACAACAACAACAACAACAGCTAATGGAAATGTTCATCATCATACAGTTCAAGGGGTTAAACCAACAACTACTGGTCGTGGAAGACGTGGTCCAAAATCGAAACAAGCTAAACAAGCTGCTGCCAATGCATCTAATTTATTATTAACAATGATCAATGAAAATGGTCAATTAATATCACCATCATCACAAACAACAACAACAGTATTGGTTAATGGAAAAAGTCGTCGTGGACGTAAAGCAAGTGGAAAGAAAAAAGTTACACAACATGTTTGTAATTATGATGGTTGTACAAAAACTTATTCAAAAAGTTCACATTTGAAAGCACATCTTCGAACACATACCGGTGAAAAACCATATCAATGTAGTTGGAAAGGTTGTGGTTGGAAATTTGCAAGATCCGATGAACTAACAAGACATTTTCGTAAACATACTGGTGATCGACCATTTCAATGTCAACTTTGTGAAAGAGCATTTTCACGTAGTGATCATCTTTCATTACATATGAAACGTCATACAATGTTGGGTCGTTAAAAGTAATCCAAAATCCAAATGAAAAACAAAAATTGTTTCCCTCCACTCAAAAAACAGAGAAAAAAAGAATTCAATGAACACGAAATCGATAGATCAACTGAATTGAACAACAATCAATCGACAAACAAAACAAACAAACAATCAACATTACAACAACAACAATGCACGTGTTTTTCCAATCAAATTGATATTTTTCTTCTTCTCACTTTATCAATACTAATACTATGTACATACCTGCAGCTAAACGAATCAATCAATCTTTAATTCTTAAATTCTACATTGCTATTCTCTTTATTTTCGGCCATTTTTTTCTTCTTTGAATTCTAGAATTGACAAATTTTTTGTGTTTGCTTGATGTGTGTGTGTGTGTGTTTTGTTTCTTCTTCCGGAATTTTTTTTTTTGACAAAACTAGAAAATTAATTAATTTTTTTTCCCTGTTTCATCAATATTATTATTATTATTATCAAACCAAAATTTTGTTTTTTTTTGTATGATTTTTCTCAATTGTAAATACACATTTGAAACAAACAACGAAAACAAACAAGCACGCACACACCATATATTGATCAATCAATCAATCAATCAACAGAAATGACTTGGCTCTCATTCAATTTGTTTGTTTGGCTTGTTTGTTTGATTGATTAATTGATTAATTATAATTTTAAACAAATGATTTTTTTGCTTTTGCTTTTGCTTTTGAAATAAATGATTTTTTTTCTTCTTTGACGAAATGAAATTCAAGAACTGTGTGGACTATGGGATATATATTGAGTAATTGAGTGTGGGAGTAAGGTAAAATCAAACTAAACAGAAAATTTGACCGATAAAGTTGGAGGAACATTTTCTAAATGCGAAAAAAATGTAAAAATTCAGAGCCAAAAACGAAGGAAAAAATTCAGTGAATCTGCCGCTGAATCTGAACATGATACAAAGATGATAATAAAATTCCGATATTATCGCATTTTAAATTCATTGAAGAAAATGATGAGATACCCATGTAGGTATATACTACTATTAACCAAGAAGTATCTAAATCCAAAACTAAGTAAATAAATAGAAAAAAATTTACGATCTTCGAGCATCATCGTTCAAGTGATAACGAGCAAGCAAAGATTATTATGATGATGATTTTGGTAGAATCATCATCATCATAATAATAATCAACGACAGACATCGATGATGATGGTGGAAAGAAGAAAACAAAAATCAAGTTTTTTTCTTCAATGAATCTTTCGCTGATCAGAAAATCTTCAAATTTCTTGAATGAAAAATTTTTTTTGCTAATCAAAGCAGCTGATTAGAAAAAAAACTGGCCCGAAAATTTTTTTTAAACAAAACAAAAAAAAATAATGGCCACAACCAGATCAGCGATGATGATGATGATGGCTAATTTGAATAATTTTTGTTTGTTTTTTTTTGCGGGGGATTCTGATCATGCAAATTGACCAGTGATGAAATTTTAATATTTAAAAAAAATGGACAATGAAAAATCGATTGAAAAAGAAAGGAAAAAATGATGCAAAAATGCCACACACACACACATTATTAATTGAATTTTTTCTCTGAGAGATTATCCCAAAAAAAAAACAAAAAAAAAAAATCAACAACAATAATGCACAAAAGATGTATAGATTAAATTAAAGATTCATCTTTCGAAGTAAAAAAAATTTGAATTTAAAAGTAAGATGTATTTTGAATGAATGAATGAATGACTTTATATGGTGAAAACGAAATAAAAATCGTGAAATTTGTTCGTCGAACGGTAAATATGATGAAAAATTTTGTTATGGATACTTTTGGAGATTCAGCCAACACAACCAGAATGTGAATGACCAAAAATCTTGCTGATCCTATTGTTTGTTTTTTGAAAGGCTTGTTCCGGATTAACAAGATCAAAATTTTGATTGATTCCAATTAATAGTATGCACGATCGAAAACAAAACAGATCAATTAGATTTCGATCAATCAATCAATCAATCAATCAGCCAATTAATCTTGACATAAAACAACAACAAAAAAGGGTAAACTAATGTCGATCAAAATAATGAGATGCAAATCAATTTTTTTTGTTTTGTTTTGTTTTGGGGCAACATCCTTTTTTTCAAACATGCAGGTTAATTCAATATTCATTGGATTTTTTTAAATTGAAATCCACTTCATAATCAAAAACATGGTTTCGATGATCACTATGAAGCAGAAAAAAATGTTAAAGTTGAAAAAAAACCTGTCCAGATATGAACGGATTTCCGATGATGCAACAACCAAACAGCCAATAAAACCATAAACCGAAAACAGGTAGTTTTTTTTCGAAAAAACAATTATCAACTTTGATTAGATCAACATTATATTATATATCCATTTTGGAGGGGGTAATCAAAAAGAAGATAAAACGAAGTAAAACGAATCTAGCAATGAAAAAACCATTATTGCTTTATCTAATCAATCTTGGTCATCATCATCATCATCATCATCGCCATAATCTCCGACACATCGATACTGTCTCTATCTTTATACATCCATCCATCCAATTCAATCCATATGCTACCCATAACTACCGAATAAATGTATGAATGAATGAATGATATTAGCTTAGCCTAGCCTAAATGAATGAAAAAAAAAATGTGAAAGAAAAAAAAAATATAAACATTATTTTTTTTCACAAGAATCGATTAATGGCTCAATTAGTCACCGGTATTTAATGTCTTACCTGTCTTAGATGTATGTCCAAGTGTGTGTACGGTGGCCACAACATCAAACAAAACAAACATGAATACAACGTGTGTGGTTTTTTTTCTGTTTGCTATATCGAGTGCATCGATATTTAGTTTTTTTTGCTTACTTTTCCAATGAAAAAGCGATAATCAAGATTTTAAGAAAAGAAAAAAAAAACGAATCATGGCGACCGAAGAGCTTGATAGTAAAAATTGCGAGAGAGAGAGGGACAAACATCATCGTTGCAAAGTGTCGCTGCCACAAATGTCGCTAATAATCGTCGTTAAGAGGAGACAAGAAAGATTAATCACTTTTGCTCTCACTGTGTGGTTTTTTTTGATATTATTATTGGATGATGCTGTGACCATGAAGATGGATTTGCTGATTTGATCAAAAATCATGAATCTTCATGAATTTTTGTTGTTTTTATTTATAGCCATAATTAGTCAAAATGCAAGTGTTACCATTTTTTTCTTCTTCTTCTTGATACAGTTGTGACATAACTAAATAAAAAGAAGAAGAAAAAAAAGATGGAAATTATTCATTCATTCAAAACAAGTTGGAAAATTCCGATGAAAATCTTTGAATATTTTGCATACCTTTGAATTCGATGTATGAAATGAAAATAAAGAGAGCCATCATCAAAATCATTCGACAATAGTTATCGTTGTTTTTTTTCTCCTGTTCGACAATAATGGTTATTATCAATGAATAAGAATGACCACCTCCATCACCAACATCATAATCATAATCATGATGATGATGATCTACATTCTGATGATGATAATGTTGATGATGATAATAGTCAAAATAATAATGTCATTGATAAAGCAAAGATATATACGTTAGGAAAAATTAAGTCATTATTAACATTGAAATAAATGGTGGCCAACATTCTAAATGGTGGCCATCATCTAATGATATAGTAGACCAAATTGATTGAAAGAATGAATGGGCCACCTTGTAGCATTTTCTCAAATGATATAATGATATTGAAAAGTAAATATTCTAAATCAAGCGATTAGATTAGATTAGAAACAAAACAAGAAAACAAAAAAAAACATCATTAGATTCAATATTTGTTTAAAAATATATCATCCGGTTGATGATGATGATAATAGTTTAAGAAAATCTTACCTAAGAGAATTATCATCCGAAAAAAAAATTTAACATTATTTTCACTAATGATTCGAACGAAAAATTAAGATTCGAATTCGAATATTCGAACGAACGGATGGAAAATAATGAAATCATTCGGCGCCATTTCAACATAAATGGTTTAACTCAATCATACATCACTGTACATTGTGCCATCTATCGACTAAGAAATATAATGTTGACATTGCGTAGTTTTGACGATTCGAATCGAGTACGGATTTTCCTGATTTTTTCGAATTTGATAATTATGGAAACATTACAATGGTTAAATGAAACTGATGATGATAATGATTATCTAAATGTTTATAAAATCGATCCTGTCAACGTCATTATACAGGGTAAGTTTGTTTTGAACGAATTTTTTCGATGTGGTTTTTTTCACCCGTTTTTTTTTGAAAACAGACAAACAAATGCCGATAATACGTACATCATCGTTGATTATTTTACGAAATCTAATGGAACCATTATCAACGATAACCAAAGATATTCTACAAATGTGTTATTATTTTCATATTGATCATCATTCTATCATAAGTCATAGTATTGAATTTTTTGATAAATTTTTTGAAAATATTCTCGATTTAGCTATTTCAAAATCGATAATTTGGTTATCAAACAAATCGATTGTTTTGAACGATATATCGATTGATTTTGGTTCGAAATTGAAAATGATCCATGATTATGGTGAATGTTTTGATTATCTTTATTTAATCCTATTTGGTTTTGAAATTCCCGGGAATATTCGTGATTTATATGATCGAAATTATTATCGTACGTTATGTATTGCTATCTGTATATTGATTGCTAGTCAAGTATATGGTGAACAATTATCTATCAAAGCTAAAGATATTTCTCATCTTATGCAACGAATCCAAGCACCTGCTGAACTTTGTCAAATCGAAACTATTCGTTCAATTGAAATTAATATTTTAAATTCAATGAATTATAATACAACAATCATCAAACCATTGAATATTCTTGTCGAAACATTACTATCGAATGTAATCGGTTTCATCAATCACCATCATAATATAAATGTGGATAATTTTTTAAAAATTTCTCAACTGATTACGGAAAACTATTACCTATTAAGATATGAAATTGTTTGGCAATTATTTCGAAATGAATACCGAATCGAATTTGATATCACTTCCGTTGAACATATTATATCATTTGAAAATTTATATCGTAATCGAATGCTGATCGCTGCCGGTATTGTTGCATCAGTTTTTTATTTGAATCAATCAAAAATTTCGAATCATCAACCGGATGAAATTCTACAATTTCTATCCAATATGATCGCCACCGTATCGATCGATCGTATTCGACAATGTCGTGATATTATGATTCAACTTATTTGTTAGTTATAGTTAGTTATTATCATTTTTTATTGATATGGCTAAATATACAGAAGAAAAACATCATATATATTAATATTGGAACAAACAAATAAAAAACAAACGAATAAAAAACATCAATTCAAACGAAAAACTGAAGATTGATTTCGTTTATTTGCTAAACGAAAGGCCGGTTCAAAACTACTTGTTGCAATAAATTGAATTCGATCCAGATTCGGATCCGGACAACTACATTCAGGACAAGAATCCAATCCAGTTTTGAATATATAACATGGTAATTCGCATACAACCATTTCACATTGTGGTTGTTGTTGTTGTTGTTTTACAATTTGTTGGGCAACAATCTTTTTCTTTTTCTTTGTAGTTGTTGTCTGTGTTGATGTTTTTGGCAATGTTGTTGATGTTGATGATGAGATTTGTTTTCCATTTCGTTTTTTCGTTGTTATTTTTGCCGTTCGATTACGTGACCTATTTGAGTTTTTTGTATTTTTTCTTGTTGTTGAATTTTTCCTGCTATTATTGATTGTTTTCGATGTCAGTATTGTATTGTGATTATTACATTTCGTATCGATATCGTTGCAAATTTTTTTCGGTCTTTTTGTTGGAACGGCAGTGGTGGTGGTGATGGGGGTGGTCATCATGGCTTGGTCATCGTCATCATCGGTAGTTATCGCTTGACTTACAGTGGTGGATACTGGGGTCATTGTTGTCGATTCGGTTATTGTTTGCTCTAAGATTTCGTCCAAAGTTATCATGGAAGTGGATGGTGGTGATTCGGTTGTAGTGATTGTCGAAATAGTTGTTGTTGGTCGACGCAAAAATAGCCTTCTTCTTCGTGTTACATTCGAAATCGATGATGGTTGTAAAATCGAACCATTTGATCCATTAAAGATTTTTATCGGTTCTGTTGCATTCGTTGACGATATTTTTCGTAACATTGGTCGACGAAATCTTCGACGAATCGAAGGTGGTGGTGATGGCGATAATGGTGATTTTGTTGTTTCAATTTCTATTGATGGTGGATCGTCTGGTATTATCGGTTTATCGGTAACATTTGATACATTTTCAATTGGATTTTGTTGTTTCAGATTAAGAATAAAACTTCTCAAATCATCAAGTAGATTTTCATTCGAATTGATCGTTGTCGTAATATCCGGACTGTTTGTTGTTGTTTCGTGGTTGCTGAAACATTCTAATTTGATTGAGAAGAAAAAAAATGATGAAAATTTTTCCCAAAAAAAATATAAACATTTCGCAAAAACTTTACCCGAATTTTCGATGATAATACTCAATGTAATGATGATAATGATAAATGGAAAATGTTTTGATAACAGTAAAATCATTGCGCCAGTTTTTTTCCCTTTGATCAAACGAAAGAAGAAAAATCAAAATCTTGTTCACCTGGAATGTTGTTGTTGTTGTTGTCGTGGTCGGTTTGATGATGACGAAAATACTATTTTTTTTTCGAGGATAAAATCGGTGAGTAAGTTTTTTTTTTCACTTTGATTTTTTTTCCAGGCAAAACGAGAGGCTATTTGAGCATCAAGAAAGATGGATTCATTCATTCACAACAACAACAACATCACTTTGAAGGTTAGTTTTGGTCAGCAGAAAAAGATTTTTGATTTTTGATAATTATAATAATGGTGATGATGATATCACTATCATCATCGTTCATCTTTAAATGAACATGACTTGAGCTCATTAAAACAAACAAAAAAATTTATTTTTCTCTTTTCTTTTCTTTTATTTTCTTCTTCTTCTTGTTTTAGTCTTGATTTATTTGACTCACAAACGAAAAAGCTAAATTTGAACGATGCTTTTTTTTCAATACTTCGAGTGAACGAACAGTGTTCGAATGTTTAGAGTTCGAAGTGATCGATGACAAATTAATGACGATTACTGTCAAGACTCAAAAGACAATGCAATGGCCTTTTTTTCATCGATATTTTTCGATATAAATTTGCTTTGCAAATCAATCATATTTTCAAAAATTTTTTTTCGTTGTTTTTTTTCGTTTTCGCTTTCGATAAAATCAAATGTCTTTGTCAAAAAATATTTTGATTGATCATCAAGACAGTGCTATTTTGTCAAGTAAAATTGCATCTTATTCTGATCCAAAAATGTCAACAGCAATGCAAAAATTGACCAACGAAATGCATGCGATCGGTCTTAAACAACAACATCATGATGAACAGCAACAACAATCTTCATCCGGTGTACGAAGTAATCCTGGTGGATCAACAACGGTAACGAAAAAACGTCGTTCACGACAACCAAATCGTTCACGTTCACGATCGACTAGCCTAAGTAATCAAGCTACTGGTATTGATAATGGTAATCATCAACAACAACTTTCTCAACAACGTCCTCAACAACAACAACGACAACAACGTGATCGAAGTAATTCGCTTGTTGGACAGAAAAATGTTCGATTTTCATTAAGTAATCCAAATTTGTCGCAACAACATCACCAACAACAACAATCATTATCGAATTCAGTAAATCATTCAATTCAACGATTATTTACAAATTCCAATTTTAATAATCGAAATCGACATCGTTCGAATAGTGATCCGGATTTGATATCACCATTCAATTATTTTGTTGCACAACAATCACGTTTATATCATAATCAACATCAACAGCAACATCGAGGTACAATGATGAATTCAAAACCTGGCATGTCAAAAGATTTTGTTTCACGTGAAATAATGGATTATTATCAACGTAATCGTCAATCAAATGATAAATATAAAGCTAAACAAATTTTACGTGAAAGTTTGGAAAATACTTTGAAACAATGTTTTCCTAATTATTGTAAGTCTTTTTTTTCAAAATGACAATTTTGTCCAGAATTTTAATCATTGAATTTCTTTGTCTTGATAGTCATCAATTTGCATATAATTGGTTCGAGTACTAACGGAATTGGTGATAATGCTTCAACAGTTGATATATGTGTTATGGCTCATAAAAAATCGATGCTAGCTCAACCATCATCCGAACCACAAGTATCTTCAGTGAGTGGTGATGAAGATAAAGGTGAAGATAAAAAAGACAAAACCGACGAGAAAGAAAAAGAAAAATCAACTGAAGAAAAAGTTGATGCGGTTGATGAAGAGGAAAAAGTTGTTAAAGCTGTTGCTGATTCAAATACCGATGGTGATGTTGTTGCAAATGAAAATGAAAAAGAAAAAGATAATGTCAATGTGATGGCCAATGAAGATTTGGAATTGAAACATATTGAAAAAATTCTACAGAATAAAAATTTTGCAAAAAATATTGTATTGATTCCGGCACGTGTACCGATCATAAAATTTCAAGATATTATTTGCAATATGAATGTAACATTGAATCTTAATCAAGAAGTATCTATACGTAATACACAATTGATACGTGATTATTCAAAAATGGATTGGCGTTTTCCACAATTGGCTATGATCATCAAAGAATGGGCACGTGAAAATCGTATCAACAGTGCTGTTGAAAAAAGTATTTCACCATATAGTTGGACATTGTTGGTTATTCATTATCTACAAGCAATTGAACCACCGGTATTGCCTTGTTTACAAAAAATGTCACCACAACGTTATAATATTGATATTAATATTGATGAAGAACGTAATATTTGGCGACAACCACCAATCAAATGGCAATCTAAAAATAATAATTCATTAAAACAATTAATGAAAGGTTTTTTCCGTTATTTTGGCTATGTTTTTCGTTATGATCAACATATTATATCGATTCGTGAAGGTAAAGTATTGAATCGTATTTATCATCGATCATCATCGTCATCAACAACAACATCGAGTGGTGGTGGTGGCGGTAATGAAGGTGATAATCTGGCAATACAATGGAATTCATTAATGTGCGTAGAAGAACCATTCAATCGATCAAATACAACACGTTGTGTAAAAGATTATTCAACATTTGAACGTATAAAAGAATTGCTACGAATGTCATCAAATGCATTGAAAGGTAATCGTATTTCATTATTCAACATTATTGTCGATGACTTGGATTTTCCAATCAAATATTAGTTATAACATAGTTTTCTTTGAAAATAATTCATTCATTCATTCTTTCATTCGTCTGATCTCAACTGATAATAATTTTGAATTTGATATTTTTGTTTTTTTTTCACTGTTATCTCCATTATTATGAAAACCTGGTATATAAAAAAAAAATTTTTGATCAATAATAAAATTTCATTTATTAAATTTTGATACGTTTTTGTTTCAATGTTTTATTTTGAGAAAGTTTAGTTTCAAAACTATCACAACAAGGACGATCAAATAATTTTCGATAATTTCGAATGGGATTTCCGAATAATTTTCGTACAAAGCTATAGGTATTGTCGATGTCGAATTTAGCCGAATCAATCAAAGATTCAATCATTGATTTAATGATTATTGATTGAATTGATTTTTCCATCCATTGGCCACGTAATTGTCCAATGGTATTGACAATATCTTTTCCTTGATTCCATTTTGGTACTTTATCCGAATCATAATGTGATTCGTATAGAACTAATGGCAGATCGGAAGCCATTGAAAATTGTGGTCGTGATGAATGTTTGGCGATGTTTAAAAGTTCTTCGAAAATTTCGGGTGTTTCAAGATGTTGACCAACTAGAAATAAAACAGCCATTATGTAACGTATTTGATGCCAAAGAAATGCTGATGCTTCAATACGAAACAAACAAAAAGAATCCGGATCTTTACTATCATCTTGAAATGTTCGTACAGAAGCATCATATACATGGCGTACGAAATTCGTAACACCATTTTGAACATCCATTCGGCAAAGATTTCGAAAATCATGAACACCAATCAAATAGGTACAGGCACGATTCATAGAATCAATATCCAAATCGATTCGTGGAAAATAATAATGATAAACACGACGACAACAATCGAAACGTGCACTTATCAAAGGATCAGATGAAACAGGTGCCCAAGATATTATACGAATATCTTGTGGTAATACTCGATTCAATATGGAAGGATAATCCATTTCTTGATCATCGGATAGTTCATCGATTGAATCACCATCATCAGATTGACGTTTCAAATTGGAACGAACAGTAATGGATATAACTTGACAGAATGCTGAAACTCCTTTATCCGTACGTCCACAACGATTATAATTGGATGTTTCACGATTTTCAATCAATTTTGTTTTCATTAATGCTTCGAATAGAATTTTTTCCACTGTTGGAAGATCATCTTGAACAACATAACCATTATAATTCCAACCAAGATAAAGAAATTTTAACATTATATGACGAGTTTTGTAACGTGAAAAATCAAATTCTTTTGGTGGTGGTTTTCTGTTTTTTGGTTCGACATGATTTGAATTTGTCAATTTATCAATAACGTTTCGCAAATGTTCATTTTGTTTTTGTAACGAATGAATTTGATCGATCAATTCCTATAAGAAGATGAAAATTTTCAGATCAAATTACCAAATGAATCATTACCTCTTTGCTTGAATCCATGAGATTTGAGAGTTCCATTATTTTGGATTTGAAAAAAACATGCTGCAGAAAATGTTGTGCAATCAAAACAATTTCTCGACAAACAACTCTAATTCACTCGCACAGATGGCACTCGTTTTTGTTTTGTTTTTTTTTTGAAAATTTTATTTGAAAAATTTTTATTTTTAGTGGAGAAATTGAACACAATGAATGATTTTTTTTTAAATATCGAAGATATTACGAAGATTATGATGATGATTGAATACCACCAGTCGAACCAAATCCATTAGCATTTCGTTCGGTTGAATCAAGTTCATCAACTTCAATCACATCGGGTGTAATGATTTTTTCCAACAATAATTGAGCAATACGATCACCACGTGATACGGTAAATGTTTGATCACCATGATTGAACATAATAACACCAACATTACCACGATAATCTTCATCGATAACACCGGCACCAATATCGATTGAATGTTTTAATGCTAAACCTGAACGAGCAGCAACACGGCCATAATATCCAGTTGGAATTTGAATCGAAATATCGGTTTTTACCTTTGAGATAAAGTAACAATTTTAGTTTGTTTTCTGGCAACTCATTCAATCAATCAATCAATCAACAAACCATTGTTTTACCCTTAGCTGAAATGATTGCATCATGTGCAGCATAAAGATCATAACCAGCAGCAAATTTTGAACCACGAGTTGGTAATCGAGCATCATTACTTAATCGTTTTACTTTCAAAACCATATAATTATCAGCAGTAGTTGTTTTAGTATCTGTACTCATTTTCGATATGAAATTTTTGAAAAAATTTTCGTTTCGAAGGACAATGAAACAATGACAAGATCGAAATGTCAAACAACGTGCAAAAGAGTTTACCGGAAACATGTGTTATAAACTGATGTGATTCATCGGCAAAAGATGGCGCTAAAAATTTTTCGATTCATTCGAAATGACTCATTCATTTCAATTTGAGTCAATGTTATTGTTTTGTTTGCTTTTTTTTTAGCTAAAAAGTCAATATCCAAAAAACCAAAAATTGCGTCATTTTTTTTCCTTTTTGAATCCATTTTTTCCTAATCCGTTTTTTTTCCCAACAAAAATAAAATAAACAAATCTCCTGTATCCATCAATCCATAAAAAATCCAAGTTTTTCATTTTTTTTCTCTATCTCCTTTAACAATCCAAAATCATCCAATTTATCTCTATAGATTGCAATAATGTTCGATAGACAACAACAAAAAAAAAATCTCATTTTCGATTCCATAATTTTGTGTGATCCAAATTCAAATAAAATTAGATTTTTATAGTTTTAGTGAGAAAAAAAAGGAATAATTTTCCCGTAAATAAAAATTCCAGAAATTCAGGTAAATTATGTTTTTTTATAGCTTTTCTCCAAATTATGCTAATTTTGATTTTGATGTCAAAAACAACCATTTTATCAATATGAATCATCGTTGATGAATTTGATTATGATGAATATTAATCAATTTTGTTGGTTGAATAATCGTTGTTGATTTCAGAAATTTTGATGAAAAAAAAACAATGATGAATCAGAATTTTTTGACAAAAATATCGTTGTTATCGATGAATGAATGATGGTAGATTTGAAAATCACTAATTTTGGATCAATATTTTCAAACGGAAGTTGATTAGGGTCAAAAATTCCTAACCAATCGAAAACAAGGTCAAAGGTTAATGAAAATTATATCATCGTAAAGATCGTAAAAAACGGAACACAATGATGTAGAATTTATAAAAATTCATTAAACGGAAGTTTGTAAAAAATGCCACTGAAACATACTACGTAGCAAAATAAAAATCGACGAAAAAATTGACGAAAAAAAAAATCCAACAAGAAAAAAGACAAAAAAAATCTGCTGCTGCTGCTGCTGCTGTGTGTGGAAATAAACGTACAGGGAATGGGAAAAAACAACATTATAATTCAGAAAAGAAAAGATATGGAAAGAAAAAAAAGGGAACACACTGTGCTGCTGGCTTGTGCTGTACAATAAAAAAAAATGGCTGTTTGTTGTTGGATGTTGCCTCTTCATTTTCGGATAGAAAAGGGGGAGAAAAATATATATATTGCATACAGGCAATGAATGGATGGAACAAGATATATCGAGTACATACAGGATATCATCCAACAACAACAACAACAAGACATTCCTCCTTTTTTTTCATCTCTGGATGATGATGAGGATAATAATGATGATGATTATTATTACCACAAAAAACACAGCGTAATACTGCGCAATCTCACCCGATTATTATTATTGATGATGATGATTTGGGAAATTGTTGTTGTTGTTATGTTTGGCCATAGTGGATATATCGGCAGTGAGACGACGATAACTATGACGACGATAAAACTGACGATAATATTTACATTTTCATGGCAAAAAAAAAAACGAGAGCAACGAACACACCGAAACCAACAAAATGGCCGATATGTTTTTGCTGCTAAAATTTCTTCTTCTTCTTCGACACAAAACAGGATTGTCGAGTTTCTTCTTTCTTTTGTGTTGGCCTGTATTATTGTTGTTGTTGTTAATGTTGATTTTCATTCTCCCGAAAATAAGCTTGAATATTGAGAATCATCATCATTCATTCATTCATTCGACGATTGTTGTAGCAGCGTGTCAACAAATATAATGGTCTCTTTTTTTTCGTTTTCTTCTGAAAATGAAAAAATACAAAAAAATACAAGTTTTTGTTACATGGAAAAATGATGGGTTATATAGCATCATTATCATTATTATCATCTGCTTTTTTTATATGGACATGCGCTTTTTGGAAAGATTTTTGGGATAAAAAAAAAGAGGCCTTGGCAAATCAGATGCGCCATGTTCACAAACACAAAACAATTGCAGCCACAAAACGAAATGATATTTTGTTGTTTGCTTGCTTGCTTGCTTGCCACAATCAAATTCGACAAAACAAAAAAACGTTCGATCGAAGGAAACGCAAAAAAAATAACATTTTCCAATTTTCGATTGGAGAATGCGCAGACAGAAAATACAGAAAAATTTTATATTTTTTTTTTTTGGTATTCAAAAACAACAAGGAGAAAGTCAATGAAATAAGAGTCAATCAGAAAAAAATTATTTAAAGATCCGGGCCTTGTAAAACAGTAGAAAAATGTCCTCGACTCGATCGAAGACCAATTGTCACCATCAACACACACAGGATACTTATCTTTGGATTCAAAGATTGTGTGTTTGGCGAATATAAGATATTTTAGATCACAAAAAAATAATAAAGAAAGAAATTTTTCAAGTTTTTATTTCACGACTAGCAATAAATCGTTCGACTAGCTATGGCTAAATTAAACTGATCGCCAAATTTCGTTAAATTTCTACATTTCTTTTATTTTGCTGATTCGAGCAACATTTCAGAGCTAAAGTTTCAAACAAGAATCTTCAATGTTCGGAAATAAAAATAAATTAACCAAAATGAAAAACAAAAAACTTAATCAAACAAAACAAAACGGCATATCCAGAAAAAAATCAAACTCTGCTCACTTGAAAAAAAAACATTATCATCAACAACATTCGAAAACGGTAACAACATTCGAAATCGAACAAAACATAAACATAAAAGAAGATTACCACTACTACAACTCTTTTGTTTGTTTTATCCTACTACTACTCGATTAGCTGTAGTAGTTGTTCATATTGATGATAATTAATTCGAAAAAGGCGTATCCAATTGTAACTAAATTGTATGCTTCTACTTTGATGGATGATATTATATATGATGGTCGTAGACGCATGCGTCAATTTTTTTTTTTTGTAACATTCGAAAAAAAACGTTCTTTCCAAAAACTTGATCGAAAAACAACAAGCAGAAATTTTTTTCATTTTAACATTGCCAATTTCGATTGGTAAATTTTAGCAAATCAGTCAGTCGGCGAGCTGTTGGCTGTCGGTGAAGTTCTTTAATTTCACTGGCTGCGAGTGGTTAGCCACTGTATACACAGTGTGTGTGTGTGGTGTGTGTCTCGCTTTTTTGCTTGAGACTCGGGAATGGAATGAAATGGGAAAAAGCGCACAGCATACATTGGATATAGTCATTTGCTTTTTGGCTTGCAAACAGTTCGCACGTCTTGTATTATTTTTTTTTTCTCACTCGCTCTCTCTCTCTGTATATGTGTGTTGTTTTCACAAAATATATTGATTGTGTAAGTGTGTTTTTTTTCATTTCATTTCAATTCATTCGCTCGCTCCTCACTTAGCAAAGAAAAACAAAAATTTTCATTCTTTTTCAATGTTGCCTGCCCATAGACAGGCACAAAACACAACTTGGCATCAGCCAGACCAAAACACATTGAGATTTTTTTGTATTCGAAAAAAATCATCCATCGAATCGTAAAAAAAATTTTTCATTTGTCTGGTTTGCGTTTGATGATTATGTTTATTTATTTTTTTTTCGATAAAAAAGAAAAGAAAATTTAATGATGGAACCACGAGTGTTTTCATCACTTAAGTAAATTAATTAATTAATTAATTTTTTATTATAAAAAATTTAATTTTAATTTTATAATTAACTAAATATTAATATTTTTATAAATCTTTGTTTATATCGATGATATTTAGTTGAATATCTAAGCTTTTTTTTTTGCTGAGAAAATTCTGAGAACAATTTTTTTGCTCAAAATATTCTGAATAATTTTTATTCGAAAATGAAAACTAGACAGGTAAAAATAGTCTAACAAAAAAAACGATGGAATTTTTTTTTGAATGGAACAATTTTTTTTTGATAGTGAAAAATTAACCCAAAACTCTCGATTAAACCGACCAACTCGATTAATCTCTTTTTGGATCGAATTTTTTTTATACCTGATTTTAAGCTAATGATTTTTTTTAAATGAATTACCGATCTGATCTATTGCCGGTAATGTTTTTGTTTTTATTTTTATTTTTTTTAATGTTTTGATGTTTGTCAACACAACATGTGTTGCCATCTTGTGTTTGATTCGATTCTTTACAAAACTTAGAAAAAAAATTATGAATTCGAATACAAGATGTCGCTGCGCGATTCCTAATTCCAGTTTTCAAAAAAAAAAAAAAAAAAAAAAATTTGAATGAAAATTTTTTCACAGGAATTTTTTTTTTTTTTTGCTAAGGGACCAGGGAAATTTTGT